GTTTAGATTTTTTTTTTTTAGGGTAAGTTTTTGTTTCAGCCCATAGTGTGATGTAATGTAGCTTCTTCTCTTTTCTTTATCATTTCTACATATCAAAAGTGTCTTATTTTTTGGTATGGGATAGTTTGAAAGAGTCGGGGACACTCTGCGGTTCTTAGTACTGACCGCCTTTGGTGACCTGTGCCTGGCAGTTAAACTTGTCACAGAATAGGAGGGCTGTTTCTCTGGCACAGTGGGTATTTTTCTTCATATTGCACATACTTTCACATCAGCTGCCTGTTAATGTCTTTTGAAATATAAGCATTAGGTTTAGAGGTTAAAAGATGTGTTACATATTTGGAGTAGAAGCCAGGAGCTAGAGCAATCTGAGATGGTGTTACGTGGAATAAAACCATCACGATATCCTTGGAAAGCATTTTGGTTAGCAATGTTACTGACTCTGCAAAGTCCCCAGTAGGTAGCTAGGAGTACTTTCTGAGATGATGTGGCTTGTTCTGTAATGCCCCTGCTGCAGAGCCTCCCGTCATCCTTACATGCAAGGTTTTACTTGCTCTTAAGAGCTGAGAGGTGTAAAGAAATAGCTTTCGTGTCATTAAACTCTCCCATGTGGAAACCAGACTAATATTTTTTTTCTTCTCTGTGACATATTGTACTTTCAAATTGTGGGAAATACACAAGTGTTTATGTTCATATGTCTAGATAAAGTTTTCCGTCATTAGTGACTTCAGATCTCTGGGGAATTCATTGGGCTTTAGTGTCAGAGGATGTATTGACTACAGGCCAATATTTTATGAGATTTGGGAAGCTTTAGCAAGTCCTGTGTCAAGTGGGGTGTTTTTTTTTTTTTTGTTTTAAGCAGGACAGGGAAGGAATAAAGCTTAATAACTTGAGTGCGGAAGTTGTTAGTGAGTGGTATTTTCTGCCCTATCGCATACCAGTCACTCTTAAGCATCTCACTCAGTTTAATGCATTAATACTTTCTTTTTTTTTTCCCCCCTCTCTCAAGTTCTTGTGTTATGTTCACACTAAGGACTTTCCGAATGGAGGAATAAATTTTCTTTTAAATGTCACTCTACTACTTTTCCCGTTTTGGCTTTATCCTGACTAAATTGTCAAGACTAATTAAAAGGTAATTTCAAAAATAAAATGTCGATGTTAAAAGAGCTTAGTGGAGGAAGATCAATCATTAAATCACGTAGTGTGAATTGTTTTTTTTCCCCTAATCTGTCAAATTTGACCTTTTATTCAAATTATATTTATTGTGAGTTAATACCCTGTGGGAAAAGTCTTTCTGGTATTTTTGGCAGTCGTATGTTTTTCCTTGTTTGTATTTAGTTGTGCCTTAACATAATTTTAATTTGTATGTATTTAACAAATGCAGGGCTCAGCTGACGCCTTGATAAAGTCCATTGTAAATGAAGATGTAGCTTTACAAGGTGAACACCAACAGTGCTAAAAACTTCAGCCCCTGAAATTAAATGGAAGGTTTTAGTTGTAGCAACTCTTTGACAGTGAAGTTGTAAAGATCTTTTTAAAAGCTCC